AAGAAGTTTTAGGTTTTACTTCTAATTTTTTTTTTTAACTTATTGGTCTTTCAGAGCACATTGTTTAATTTCATGTATTTGTACAACGTTCCAAAAAAGCTTCCTTTTATTATTGATTTTCTAGTTTTTATTCGGTGGTTTGGGCTATACGTGAATATGAAATTTTCACTTTTTTGAATTTGTTGAGAACTTGTTTTGTGCCTCTCATATGGTCTGCTTGAAAATGTGTTCCATATGTGATGACAAGATAATGTATTCTGCTAGTTGGAGGGAAATGTTCTATCAATGTCTGTTAGATCTGTTTGGTTGTCTAAAGTGTAATTTACCTCTGATGTTTCTTTGATGATCTGGATGATCTGTTCACTGCCGAAGTGGGTCTTTGACGGCCCCTAATATTACTGTACTGTAGTCGGTCTCTTCCTTTAGATCTAGTAATATTTGCTTTATATATTTAGGTGCTATGGTGCTGGGTACATGTATATTTACTATTTTTATTTCTCTTGCTATAGTGACCTCTTTAACAATCTGTAAGGATGTTCTTTATTTCCTTTTACAGTTTTCACTTAAAGTCTATTTGATATAAATACAGGTACTCCTGCTGTTTTTTGCTTTCTGTTTACTTGGCATATATTTCTCCAACTCTTCGCTTTCAGTTTATATGTATCTTCGTAGTTAAAGTGAGTTTCTTGGGGGCAGGATGTAGTTGAATCTTGATTTCTTTTTTCAATCCATTCAGCCAACTTCTTTGTTGTTGTTTTGGTTTTGTTTTGTTTTGTTTTTTTAAGAAAAATTTATCTTTGTTATAGATTAAAGGGTACACATGCCAGTTTATTACATGGGATAATTTCACGATGCTGAGACTTAGGGTCCCAGTGATCCTCTCACCAAGCCAGTAAGCATAGTACCCAACAGATCTTTAGCCCTTTCCCCTCTCTCTCTCTCTCTCCTAGCTATTGATCCCCACTGTCTATTGTTCTTATCTTTACATTCATGTATACTCCATATTTAGCTTCCACTTACAGATGAGAGCATGTTGTATTTGGTTTTCTCTTCTTGCATTAGGTCACTTAGGATAAAGGCCTCCTGCTCCATCCATGTTGCTGAAAAGGTCATTATTTCGTTCTTTTTCATGACTGCATATTATTCCTTTGTGAATGTATACCATATTTTCTTTATCCAGTCCACCATTGATGGGCACTTAAGTTGAGTCCATGTCTTTGCTATTGTGAATAGCACTGCAATGAAAATATGAGTGTATATGTCTTTTTGGTAAAACAATTTATTTTCCCAAATACTTTGGTATATACCCAGTAGTGGGATTTCTGAGTTGAATAATTCTATTTTAAGTTTTTTGCAAAATCGCCAAACTGCTTTCCATAGTGGCTGAACTAGTTTGCATTCCCAGCTACAGTGTTCCCTTTTCTCTGCAGCCTTGCTGACCTCTGTTGTTTTTGACCATGCTGTTTTGATTACTGTAGCCTTAGAGTATGGCTTGAAGTCAGGCAGTGTGATGCCTCTGGCTTTGTTCTTTTTGCTTAGTATTGCTTCGGTTATTCAGGCTCTTTTTTGGTTCCAAATGAATTCAGAATAAATTTTTCTAATTCTGTGGAAAATGATATGAGTATTTTGGTAGGGATAGTGTTGTCTTCGTAAATCACTTTGGTATTATGGCCATTTTAACTGTATTGATTTTTCCAATCCATGAGCATGGAATATTTTTCCATTTATTTGTGTTGTTTCTGATTTCTTTCAGTAGGAGACCTTGTATCGTTTACCTTCTTGGTTAGATGAATTCTTAGGTAGTTCATATTTTTTATGACTATTGTAAATGAGATTGTGCTCTTGACTTAGTTCTCAGCTGGAACACTATTGTTTTATAAAAATGCTAGTGATTGTTGTACATTTATTTAGTCAATTCCAGGAGCCTTGTGTCAGATTCTCAGGGTTTTTTATGTATGGACTCATATTGTCAGTAAAGAGAGATAGTTTGACTTCTTTCCCTATTTGAGTGACTTTCATTTCTTTTTCTTGCCTCGTTGCTCTGGCTAGGACTTCCAGTACTAAGTTTTTTGTTTTTGAGACAGAGTCTCACTCTGTCACACAGACTGGAGGGCAGTGGGATGATCTCAGTTCACTGCAACATCTGCCTCCCAGATTCAAGCAATTCTTGTGTCTCAGCCTCCCAAGTAGCTGGAATTACAGGTGCGTGCCACCATGCCCGGCTAATTTTTGTATTTTTGGATGAGACAGGGTTTTACTGTGTCGGCCAGGCTGGTCTCGATCTCCTGACCTCAAGTGATCGGCCCACATCAGCCTCCCAGAAAGTGCTGGGATTACAGGCGTGAGCCACCACACCCGGCTGATTTTTAAGTTACTATTTTCATTGTAAGGATTAGTCCAAATAATGTATCCCATCATTAAGTCTCAGTTAAGTCTCATCATTAAGTCTCAGTTGCTAGTATCTAATTAATTCAATATATGTATTTCCTTAGAATAAAAAGACCTCATAGACAACCTAGTTTAGTTAACAGAAATGAGGGTATTTAACATTGATATAACACTATTGTCTAGTTCAAGGTCCATATTCCGAAATTTTATGCCAGTTCTAATAATGTCTTTTTTCTTTTCTTTTTTCTTTTTTCTTTGAGATGACGACGTCTCGTCTGTCGCCCAAGGCTGGAGTGCAAATGGCAAGCAGGTCTCGCTTCCACTGCAACCATCCACTTCCTGGGTTCAAGTGATTCTCCCCTGCTCAGCCATCCCCACGTAGCTGGGATTACAGCGTGCCCACCACTACAACCGCTGGCCTAAATTTTTTGTATTCTTTTTGGTAGAGACGGGACTTTCACCATGTATCGGAACCAGGCTAGTCTCCGAACTGCTTACCTCCGTGGATCCACCCGCTCTCAGCCTCCAAAGTGGCCTGGACTTAACACGGCATGGGCCAGCTGCGCCCGGTGGTCGCCATAGGATCATTCTTTGTATTCATATCCTCGGGGCTGGTTTATTGACGCTTCTTAGATTTATACAGTTATGTTCTTTCAACCCCAATTTTGGCAAAATTTAGTTATTCTTTTAACCCCCTTTTACAATGCTTTTCTTACTGTTACTCACCTCTTTTTCTTATTGATACCAATGTCTTATTTATGTTTGCACAATTCATCTGAAGCTTTAATTATTCTTTAATACTTTTCTCGCGTGTTTCAGATTCGACCTAGTTATTAGTTACACTAATTGAATCTGTCTTCAAATTTGGTGACTAAAACATGGTCCTCCAATAGGCTGAATTCAAACCCATGTGGGGATTCTTTTCTCAAATTACTCCCCCACGGCCACTTCTTTAGTACAATAAATTACAATAAATTTTACAGTTGGTTTCATTTTTTATGTTTCAGCTAAAACTCAATGTTAAATTCATCTGCCTGTTATTCATATGACACTATTTCTCCTTTTACATTCTTGAATGTAATAGCTGTTTATTGCTTTTCCACTTTATTCCCAATACCTGTGATTCATTGGGGTTAAGGTCTATAGACTGCTTTTTTTCTTGGCTATGGGTCACATTCCCTGCTTTTCTAGTGTATCACACAATTTTTATTACTAGTAGACATAGTAAATGAGGAATTGTAGAGATTTTGGCTCTTTATGTTCCTCTGAAGAGTACTGACATTTTGTTCCATTAGGTCTGTCTCCTTTAATGTGGACAGAAGCTACAAATCTCTGCCCTGTTTTTCTAGCCTCTTAATTTTT